TGAAATTTATCAAAATTTAGTGTTTAAGATTTTTTTAAAGTTAAAAAATATAAGTTTTTAAGAGAAAAATTTTAATTTATGAAATATAAATAGTGTCAAAAAATTGAAGTGCTTTTAAGTTTCACTAAACATGCTCTTAGTTATTTAAAGAATAAAAGGGGAAGGGGGGGAAAAAAATTTTATTTTATTTTTTATTTAATTTATTTACTTATCTAAATGAAAAGAAAGGAAAAGAGAGAAATAGAAAGATATGATTCTCTCTCCTTTATTCTTTTTAATCTAAACATACAATAAAGTTATAAATTAAGAATGTAATTATTATTTTTTTATTATTAAATTATATAAAAAATTAAAGTTTAATTTAATTTATCAATTAACTGATTAAATTAATACATGTAACATTAGAGTTAAATATGATATTAGCTTTTTTTTATATAAGTTAATAGTTAAAAATGACATTAATTATACCTTTTAGAGCACATGTTAAAAAAACTATAGTTAGAAAATAATTTTATTAGAAAAGCGGTAGAAAAAGTATTTAAAAAATTAATATATTTTGTAATGATATTTGTTGATATTTTATTGATTTTTTTTATTAAGAAATTTGCATTGGTTGATACGAAAAATGGTCAAAATACATCCTATATAAGAAAATTAGAAAAAACATTTTTCTTCAAAGAGTATGAAAATTGTATTAGAAAAAATAAAAACAAAAAATGTTATTTTTACCCTTATTTGCTTATAATATTAAAATGTAAAAATACATAAATAACCTTATAAAAAAATTTTTGAGAGAAAAAGTTTCCTACTACTAACCAATCAAATCTATATATTTGCTTTGAAGGAAATGAACGGAGAGAATAATCTTTTTAATTAATCGAATTACAATATTAATAAATAACAAAATATAATTAATTAAAAATCTATTTCTCCACTTTTATCCCTTTTGTTCCACTCAAATCAAACAGACTGCTAATGGAATGGAAACTTGGCAATTCCTTGAAAAAACTTTAAAGAGAAAATTTTTTTAAATATTCAAGTTAATTTTTTTTCTCCAGATATTTGAATGTCTGTTCTAAACCTCAAATCAAAAATTTTAAATTAGCAAGTATTCACCACAAAGGTGATGGATAAGATGGAAATGCATTAAGAATTGTGATATGTAATTAATTTCTCCACAAGCAAAGGGATCAGATTCTAGACAGGGATGCCAAAGCTACCCTATATTTCTTTATTCCACATGAGAAAAGCCTCCACCACTCTCAGCTCGTGTCCTGCATACAGAATCATTAAAAGAATTAAACTTTTCCAACACTTAAAAATCCAAAATTATATGAACAAGTTACAAATTGATCAGGTGAATGTGCAATTTCAGTAGATAAATAACAATTAAGTCTCAAGTTATCTTTATCATCTACATGATGACACAGTGCATATGACCATTATGCTTGGAAAGACAATGTGAGGCTTCTTATATTGACAATTTAACAAATTGAGCAAATCACATTTTCCCCGGAAGAAAAAACCAATTCTTGAAGCCTTTTAGCAAGAGCTGTTATGACTTACTTGTGGTCAGAAGGATTTGGCCTAAGTTCATAGACAATTGTTGCGACGACATCCCTCTTCAACTGTTAATCATAGACAAGAAGACTTATCAACTTGAAGCACCTACTGTATACCAGGGAATATGAAGGAACCAACACAAACCAGTAAATCTCATCTTTGTCAAGGGAAGTACCTGGGTGGCTTCTCCTTTAAATCCAATGTAGTGGATTTGAGTTGTGTCGCCACCAAAATTTTCTGGGAAATGCAACGTAATGCTTGCAACACTTTGAAATTTTGAATATCTAATTATATGGATTAATATAGCATCAGGAAGTGGAAAATAACAGGGAAAGTTACAAACTCAATATCAGTCTAGCGATTTGTCATATATTATCACTTAGCATGGTTTGCCACCAAATGGAACAAATATTCATGCATGATATGCTGCAAGTCCCTAGCTGACAAATGGATTGAAAGTGATCTTAAACAAATAAAATCTGCCACATAGAGAGTAAGTGCTTACCTTGTCTGGTACTCTAACACTCCATTCAAATTTTCGACCAAATCCCACTCCTTAAATCATAATGTAAATATGTCTCAGACATAAACAGCCTAACCAACAAATCCAAGAAAAGAAGATGAGCATACCTGAACAGGTTGCATGCTTTGAGCATCTGAAAAGTCAATGCCATCTCGATTAAGGAACCTGATTACAATGAGAAAAATAAAAGTTCTTTTTTCATTCAAGAAGAAATTCCTGAGAAGAATGCCAGAAAGGCACTGGATACTTTATATCACTGGCAGTACAAATCACTGCCAACAATTTGTTTTCCTTTCCAAGGGAAAGGTTTGTCAGTACCAATGATCAATTGATCATTGCAATAACTTACACATTGGAAGCATATAAACCAGCAGCAAGGATGTCAGGCAACCTCTTCAACACACAATAAAAATTCAACAAAGCAAGAGAAATTTTACACACACAAGGAACTACTTTTCCTTCTTAAACTCCAATACATTGTGGTCTATCTAGCTTTGACAATTGCAATTATAAGGCAGCTTTCATTTTTTCCAAATTTAAGAATTCTGTAACAAAATTTGATCACCAACAGCAGTCAACCAGTCATTTGATACCAATGGAATCAGTTCAAAAAATAAATTTCAGATTGCTGACTGAAAATTAACCATTCAAGAAGTCACGAGTTTTGACTGAAAATAGAGAAATAATGAGTTTGCTTGCTTAGTCAAACTTACACTCTCATCTTGGAAGGACTTGTTCCATCAGCACCACCAACAACTGATATGCTCTTGATCTTCACATCTGATGTAAATCTATTGGGTAAATCCCAAAAGAAAAAAAAAATGCAGGAAAAGTTAATGCAACCACTTATTGTACACAACAAATTAAATGAAAGAAAATGAAGAATGATTTTGGAACTTGAAACAATAAGTTTCAATTAATTATTTTATCATGTCTGTGGATATACAATCAAAAACATCTGGAGTCTGCAATGTAAACCTTGACAATAAAAATTTAATTATGAAACACCAAAATCACAGAACAGGAGAGAAATAAGGCATTATGATGAAAACAAGATCTTCCTCGATATAATATAGGTGCCTTGACAACAGAATAACCGGGAAACTGACAAAGATGAAAGAAATGTTAAATTGAGACGCTTCAGACTCCAGCCAGTGTACATCCTCCACTTAAACTACACAATTGGAGTAGACAAGCAAAACAAGAACTAGGGATGAAGATGAACTCTCACATCAAGAGTTTAAAATGAAGTAAAATAGAAGAAAAAGAGCCACATACGGGATGTAAATGAGTAGCTCAGGATCACCCTCATTGCTCTCCAAGTGTTCCTGTCACATTCAGGTGAATGAGGCTTCAGGAACCAAACAATATTAGAGAACTAAGTATCTCAGTACATGTCGGACAAGAATACATGAAATAAGCTTGTAATTCCCTGAAAATAACCATATAACAATCCTCAACCATATTGGGTTTAGTAGAATTCTGTACATTTAGACTTAAGGGTCACAGGCTCCACACCATAAATAAATGCACAGAGGCATACATTGAAGTATCATTATCTAGATTCAGCTATGTCAAAAAAAGACGAAATCGACCAATTTCTACATAGAAATTACCCCAGAAGAATTTAGACGCTGCTCCCAAGCTCTGAATACTGACTTAACACTTCCTGAGACGGCCTCATTTAGAGCAGACACCTAAAATTAAACAACCCAAAAAGAAAAGTACGTCAAGCATAAAATTTAATTGATATAATAACTCAGAATTCAGATTCAATCAGTCAAAAGGAAATGGTAAACATCCAAAAATTGGAGAAACAACAGAAATCAGTAATCATTCACTAGAAACTTCAATACCCATTATCAGAAAGTAAAAATAAAATCAAAATATGAAGAATTAAAGGTTTAGAATTAGAGTTCAAGAGTAGCAGCTGGAGATGGATTGAGAGTCACTTCTCGTCTCGAAGATGGTAAAAGAAATGGGAACTGAAAAGGAGATGAACCTTGGAGAGGTCGATGTGCTTGTATAGAGACCAACTCGAGGAACAATCGTGATCTTCGCAGCTGTGATCATGCAAACACGCCATCTCCTCTTCTTCTTCTCCGTTCGCCAACCAGGAAGGCAAAATGCAAATGAACTCTTCAGAAACATAGAAATAGCCACTGCTCCAAAACGATGCGTTTTGTATGCTTTATCCATATTCCTTTCCCTTTAGTATTGGTTAAACCCCAAACTTTTGGTCCTAAACTTTTTTATGAACCCTGATTTGGTTCCTAAATTAAACCAAACTCTATTTTAATCTCTATAATTTTATGTTTTGGCCTTTTTCTTTTTTTTTGTCCAAGCAAACATTTATTTAGTTTAGGGACCAAAATTAGGGGTATATAAAAGTCTAGGAACCAAAATTGAAGTTTAAACTAATGATAGTTTTGTGATTAAATAAATTTTTAAAGATAATAAATAATGAATTTGTCTACATAATTTTTTTTTGTGTGAAATTTTCATCTCATTAATTAAAAAAAAAGTTTTATCTTTAATTTTTTTATTGTTGAACATGTTATATTAAAAATGAAGAGATTCAAATATCAACCTTTAAATTGAGAGATATATCTTTAATGAATAAAAAATCATAAAACCACAAGGTTCAAGTGCAGGTTTTACCGTTAATTAATGTGCCAGGAGTAGGGTTTAACAAAGAACAATAAAAGGCTGAATTCAAATTTTAAGAATCAAAACATGAATTTATTTAGTTTAAGAACCAAATAAATGCATTCCACGTGTCGTGGTTCAGTGATCACTTGCTGCTCATGATTTGCACTCTGAAGTTCCGAATTCAATATCCTAACTAACACCTCTAACATACCAACTTCTAACAATTGCAGTTATAAAAAAAAAATAAAAAAAAAAAATAAATGGTCGGTGGATTAAAAATTGAGGTTTAACCTATTGTATCGGTTATGCGGTGTCGTTCCTTTAATACGGGTCAAAACGCACCGTTTGTATTTTCTTTCTCGCGGACAAACAAAACACCGACCGCACATAGGAAATTCCATCTTCCAAACGGGAACCTAGAGTCGGTGATGGAAGGAACAGAGGGAACTAGCTCTGTCGCCGGAGGAGTAGGAGGAGTACGATACATGCTTAAACCGGCACGGGTAACCAACGAGGACATACTATTCTGCATCGACGTCGATGCAGAGTCGCTCGTGGAAATGAAAACACCGGGGCCCAACGGGAAGCCGTTCACCAGATTGGACGCGATCAAGCAAGCCATCCTTCTCTTTATCCACGCCAAGCTCACTATTAACCCCGATCACCGCTTCGCCTTTGCAACCCTCTCCAAATCGGTCTCTTGGGTACCTTTTCCCCACCAATATGTTGAAGTTTTTACTTTTTTTTTAGTTCTTCTGCGTTCTGTAGATTGGTTGAGCTGCTAGTGATCATCAAGATCGTTTTTTTATTTCACCTCCTTCTTCGTTTTAGAACTCATAGGTATACACTTTTTGAAACGTAGTTCTAGACTTCTAGGGGATGTTAGTTTGTCATGAAGAAAGGAATTCTGGGTGGTGTGAATATTTAGATGGGTATTATGTTCTTTGGGACTCAATTGAAATGCTAAATGCTTAGATTCTGACTATGATTTAACAAAAATGGTACTGTGCATAGTGAAATAAGTTAACTTAGCAGCAAGCGTATTGGTACTGCCTAGTGTTTACTTGAAGGAATCATTTTTTTTTCTTCAATTTTGACATGCACAAAGAGTCAAAGAGTATTTTTGAAACATGAAGCTCTTTTTTATTGAGATTCTAACTTCTGCATTGCTTAAGCGGATGTTAGACTTGTTACAATCTTTAGTTTAACACAAGTTGTCTTGCTGGATTGGATAGAATAACTTGATATTGCCCTAGTTCAGCTTTGTTTTTCTTTTCTTTTCTTTTCTTTTTTTTCCCATAAGAAACTGGAGACATGTAGTAAAGACTAACCACTGAGATAGGGAGAGGAGATAACTTTCAAAAAGCATGATGACAAGAATACTTAAAAGAAATAATGATGGTGCAATTCAGTTTATGAACCTATAGAACCTTCACAATTGTATTCATGTTCGTGAAGAGGTGATAGATTGATATATCTTGCTGGAATTTTATGCTGTTATTTTACCATGATACTGCAGTGTGCTAAGAATTTATGCTGTAATGAAGAGAGAAGAGGAATGAGAAAATCTTGTTGCCTCTACTGTAAAGCCTACTAACTTTGATCTATGCACTAATTATTTCATTCCTTTTCCCCATCTTTCCAGATGTTTTATAAGTAGACAGATTTTTTTTTATTTCTTTTCATTTTATTTGGGACATTGTAATTTGCTTGGAAATTCTCTTTCTTGCTTGTTACTTTTAGCTGCGGAAGGAGTTCAGTGGCAATGTTGAGTCTGCAATTTCTGCACTTCGAATGCTCTCAACTACTTCTTCTTCTAGTCAAGCAGATCTCACCAATCTATTCCGCTTAGCATCTCATGAAGCAAAGAAATCTCGTTCACAGAACCGGATTTTGAGAGTGGTCAGTGTTGGCTTCTTTTCTCTTTGTTAATATTCATAGCACCTGTGAGATTTCTAGTTTCAATTTTCAATTTTCCTTTTGAAGTTTATTCTAAATCCTCTCAATTGGCTCTTTAGAATTGTGTAGAAAATGTCAGGATCTTTTGTCTTGTGTTACTTGTTCTTCCTCTAATATTTGACATTTAGAGTGATATTCTGCTGTCTTTTAGATTCTTATATACTGCAGATCATCTGTGAAACCACATTACCAATGGCCCGTGAACCAGAAACTCTTTACTTTGGATGTGATGTACCTGCATGACAAACCTGGACCAGAAAACTGCCCCCAAGAAGTCTATGATACACTTGTTGAGGCCCTTGAACATGTTAGTGAGTACGAAGGCTACATCTATGAGAGTGGACAGGGGCTAGCTCGTGTCCTCTTCCGTCATGTGTCAGTGCTGTTGGCACACCCTCAACAACGCTGCTCACAAGAGTACATGGATACAGTTACCCCCAAGCCTCTTACAAAGAAGGCACCGGTGACTGAATCAGGAAATGGCGAAGATAATATTCCTGTATCCAGCCAGTGAGAGTATCAACTACCATTAGCAGATTCAGCTTCGTTGTAGTATTGGATTTTACGGGCATGCTTTCTAATTGTTGTGGAAATAAACCATTTACGTGGAACTACAACGTGTAACCCAATGAAATTCTCCCATCATTCTGTAGAAATGAAAATCTTGTTTAAGTTTTTGCCAAGTATTTAAACTGACCATGAAATATGAGTTCTATGTTATCGGGGATACATTTTTCGAGGATCTGGGTGCGGATGATTCTGTATTATCTCTTTTCATAATGTAAGACTTGATTGACAACTTATGCACGAGGCGGTTGAAACCTTTGAACAGCTTTTAGGCGTTTAGATTGGTAGTCTAGAAGAAATTGATAACTAATATTTAATAATTAATATTTTTTTATTATTAATTTTTCGATATTCAATAATTACATTGGATGATTAATTTGAAATTGAGGTTCATCAAATCTTATCAGGGAAAAATTTTCTTCATGTTTGTTTTTTTATTAATAAGATTTAAATTTGAGATTTTTAAATAAAAATAAAATTAAGTTTTTTCCACTTAAATCAATAAGTTTCGTTGGTATAATTAATAATTGTTATTATAAGTATCTAATTCAAAATTAACCGTTAATAGTTATTTTGGGAAGTCCAAAGCAAACAACCATGTCGATGTGTGTTTCTCTTGGTAAGCCCCACTTACGAGACTAGTTATTTTAGTTGGGCAAAAGGTGCAGATCAGCCCCTGAACTCAACAACTGGTGGCAAATCACCCCCTCAACCCACTTCACGCGCAAATCACCCCCTCAACCCACTTCACGCGCAAATCACCCCCTCAACCCACTTCACGCGCAAATCACCCCCTCAACTCCCCTGCACTGGCAAATCAGCCCTTCTCTTAACATTTCCGTTAACATTTAACATTCCGTTCATCACCCCTCTACTGCATTCTAGAGAATTTTCTCCTCTTCATTTTCATTTCCCTAGAGAATTTTCTCAGATAACAAACAAACAAACATGGCTGTCCTTTTCTTCCTCTTCTTGTATCTATCCCTGTCATCTGTTAATGTAAGAACGAAGAACTATCATTTACATACTGTTTTTTTTCTCTTTACTTGTTTCTTAGAACATAATATTCTCCAATTTTTGCAGGTTTTTTCTGCAAGAATCATGACCAAAGTTGCAGAGAACCCACTCAGTGCCAGAGCATCTGTGATCCGATACTGGAACACTTGTTCATTTTCCTACTTTCCCTAGTCATGCTATTGCAACTTCAGCCTACAGCCATCCCTGCCTATTCCTTGTTTGCAACATATATCAATTTCAAGAAACTTTTATCGAATCCACCTATTCATCATAGACAACCATCTTATTACGCCACAACCAGATTACCAGCACAACCACTTTTAGACAAAAGATCGAACAGCTGGTGTGCATTGTCAAATGAGACTCTAATCTTCCCGATCTTATTGTCTCAAAACCCAAAAACTCAACTTATGCACTCAGGACAGCAATAAGCATTATTTTACATAATAAAATAAATTCCAATAAATTTTAATGGGTTTCTTGATCCACCCATCATGTTTAGGACATTGTATTTCATGGGTTTTGGCAAAGTTGTCCTTCTTAGAGGCACCAAAGCATCAGACACTTCCCAAGATTGCTTGAGTTTCTAGGTTTTGTGTTTTGAGAGGGGAACTGTATTTCATGTGGGTTGCTGTAATTTCAGAGCAGGTGAAGGAACTGTATGCCACAAGATCGGCTAAGTTTCTAGGTCTCAAGATCATCTGAGTTTCTAACCATGATCTTGTGGTTGGGATCATGGTATGGGGATTTAGTCGTAGTGACAGAGTTTTAATGACCGAAATTTGGATCCAATTCGTGCGAAATGGAATGGGTAGTATGTGACGATGAATGATTATGGAGCATTCGGTCGGAGGCGACAAATGGGAAGGAAAAATAATACACGCTAGCTTTAGAAAGGTCGAGATGGAAACTCAGGCCGAGTATAGACTCCTCCTGTTTTTAAGGAAAAGAACTTCCAAAATTTTGTTCCGAGTGTTTGTTATCTGAGAAAATTCTCTAGGGAAATGAAAATGAAGAGGAGAAAATTCTCTAGAATGCAGTAGAGGGGTGATGAATGGAATGTTAAATGTTAACGGAAATGTTAAGAGAAGGGCTGATTTGCCACTGGAGGGGAGTTGAGGGGCTGGTTTGCACGTGAAGTGGGTTGAGGGGGTGATTTGCCACCAGTTGTTGAGTTCAGGGGCTGATCTGCACCTTTTGCCTTTTAGTTGTGCCAAGAGGTTGTACAAAAATGGCTAGGTATTATCTTATCACTTATGGTTCTGAGTCATACTACATATAAGTCAGATGGGTAAGGGGATTTGTTAAAAACATTGATTCACACCAAATCATCCCACCCCACAAAATGGTCATCAAAACCATTGAGTATGCACGAAATTATATCCAGGGTAAAGGAACATTCAAACTCACAATATGGAGCTGTGTTACTTTCAAAATGAAGTCACATCAAGGAATTACAAGAATTCTAAGCCAAAAACTCATGTTACTAGTCTGTACTGGAAGAATTTCTTTTTTTTTTTTTTTAAAGAGCAGCAATGACTAATAAAGTTTGCTAGTTCTACCCTCTTTTCTTGTCTCTTTCTCTTCATTTTTTTTCCCTTTATTGTGCAGGGTGTGGTTGGATGAAATTTGTTCTGCAGCCTTCTGAACAAAAATATGTACCTGCACTTCAGCACTTGCAAAAATTAATGACACTGAAACGTCAAATTTTCTTAGGATCAAATTGAATCAGCTTTTGTATCATCTCCAAGAAAGTCATCGTACAAGACTGGAACCCTAATCCTCTCATGAACAGATTTACGTTTTGCATCAGAGCTGAACTGCCCAGGCTGGTTTTGAGGCATGAACTGAGAATCATCTTGAGCACTGCTTGAAGCTCCATCAGTGACAGTTACTCTGGAGGAGCCCTCTTCGTCCTGTCTTGGTGGTTGCCTTATGTTTTGTTTCTTAAATTGCTTCTGCGATTTTACACAAAACATGATGCAGCTGTATTAGATACAACTCGAATGGTAAAGAACATGGAATGGTGTACTATGAAAGACAAGTTAGAATGATTGGTTCATAACCTTATTTTGTTAAAGTAACAAATCACTATAAAGTTACTTATTAAAAATAGAGAGAATATGTACTGAAGAAAGAGATATTATTGAGTATTGATCAAAGAAAATAGATTTTGTATAATCAATTCATTACGTCACCCATCCGTCATTCAGTTGATCTCCAGCAACATGATCTACTTAATTAGATATCCAATTCATAGGTTTAGTGGTTTACTGAAAGTTCCCGATTAAATGCAAATTGATTCTTAGCAAAAAGAAGAGAGTAGCACATAACTTGCCTAGTAAATATCACTAATAAGGGGACAGTAGCATGCATCAAGACAGGATTAAGTACACACCTCAAATTCCTTTGTTTTTTTCATTATCTCTCCATAAGCTGCTGGTTCTCGTGCCTTGATTACGTTCCATAATATGCCACCACCAGTTCGATTACGTCTCCTGTCAGCAGTCATCTGACCTCCACAAGCTTGAATTGCATCCACCTGAAACCTCAAGATATCAGCATACAATTCAAAAAAAAAAAAGGGAAAAAAAGGGGGGGGGGGGACTATTTTACAAAAGAGAAAGGGGGTAGGGGAATGGCACACGGAAGAAAATATTGAGCTCAAATACTTAAAATATAATTAGTGACTATATCCTTAAGAAATTGCCACAGGACGCAGGCAATGAAAAAGCAAAATAAACAAATGCGTTCTGCCTATGTTAGTATGTTCTCAGAGGTAAGTCTGATTCCAGCTCAGAAAACTTATTAATTTCAAACTAACTTTATGACAAAGACCATTCATAAAGAAATATAAAAAAAGATTAAAAAAGACAAGAATCTGCCTCCAATTCCTATCAAACTGCTGGTCAAATGGAGGCTAAACATTCAATTTTTACATATAATCTTTACATCTTAGTCCAAAAAACTGGACTTCTATACAAATAACCACTAAAATTGGAAATATCTGTTTTTATAATTAGCCATTTGATATTCTAAAATCTACTGAACGACAAACATTTTATATACAGAGTGGTGAAAGTGGGAAAAAAAAAAAAAAAAACACAACCTATACCAAAAGCAATGATGAGCTTGTTCATCTCAGCTCAGGCACAGAATTTTGAAGTAGAAAATGGCTTCTGCAAGAAAAAATCTGCAACGGTGGGGAAAACATCATAGGTCATCAGATATTAAGAATGGAAAGGTTTTAAAGAGAGTGGCAAGAAGCTTAGGCTGGTCCAACATGAGTTAACCCAATTTCTCACCTTCCATTGAGACCCAAGTCATTGTGCCTTGTGCATTCCAAAAAGAACTATACTCTAAAGATACTATTCTAAATGGAAAGAGGATGAGGAGATGGGTAGCTGAGGACACACTAAGAAGCTGGAAGTACTCAAAACAAGGGCGAAAACAGGAACAATGGACATTAACAAAATGCCAAGTCCAACCAGGTATCAGATATAAATGTCATGGAGTGTGGAGTAATTTACTGACCTCCTAAAGAGGCAGGTTCTTTTCATACCAAATCCTAGCTAAGAAGTGTATTATGGGCACAACAATGTGGCTAGAAGCTGCTTAGAAGAGGATACAAAACAGAGGCCACCACAGACCCTATTGCTATATATCATGTACATTTACTGATGAGGATGAAAGCCCCATAAAACGAAACCTGGTAGAACATAATTGACTTCAAACATTACAATCTTAATTAGCAATGCCGGCCAACTATCAGCACAGAAATTACTTTTCTGGAGACCAATTTAAACAGTAATGAAACACACAGATACAGATTAAACCATCAATTTTCATCAATACGATAGCAACACATGGAAAATAATATACCTCTCTGACTATATCACTAAATGCAGAAAACCCCAGAACGCCCACAGCAGTGTACACCATGTACTTCTTCCTCTCCCTCAGACGCCTGCACGTCTCTAACACAAACCTGCAAGCAATACGCCAAAAAAATGTCAGAACAAATCCAAACAACCAACGAAATCCACCCTAAAGAAAGAATAAAGAACTGTATTCTTATCATATCAAATGTCAATTTTAACAGAAAAATACCTGTCTACGTCTACGGGTTTTTGACCCGAACTGTTTCTCCTTTTTCTGTTCCTCTTCTTGTTCGCTCGGCGTCTTTGATTTTTACTTTGAGCACCTTGATTTCCCATTGTTACCTCTCCGCCGCTGCTTTTTCCGACATCCGTTTGAGGAGTTTCGTCCTCCACCAATTCTCCTTCTTCAACATCAAGCATCTCAACATCTTCACCATCTTCTATGTAATCGTCGTCGAAGTCAGCATCCAACGAGAGGTGCTCTTCCCCCATCGCCGAGCCGGAATCTTCAATCTGGACCTTTCCGTATGGAGACAACCTCCGGAGAATGAAACGGAGTCCTGGGCGAGTACTGGAGTGAATGGTGATAAGTGATGACTTGCTTTTGGGCTAGGGGTTTTAAAGGGCCGGAGAAATGGCGATGGGATTAACGCTACTAGGGATAGGATTTCTTTGAACCAGCTACCAAACGACTATGAACGAGGTTGGTTTTTTCTCGGCCATGATGGGCTCGCCCAATATACAAATCAACAGGCTCAAGCTAGACTATCGGTACCTGAGTCATCTGGGCCCAAGTTGGGTTCATTGTCTGGACCCAAAATAATATCCAAATGATTTTTTTTTTTTTTGTCTTTTTGATAAAGCGAGAAAAAGGGTTAATGCCACTACCCACATCTAGTGCCAATTTTAAGGGTTTTTTTTGAAATAGTATTTTACGAGTTTTACTATCTATTAAAACTGCAGGCAACTTATAAATTGATTAAAATATTTTTAATAAAATTATTTTATAATGTGATTAAAGATAGTCATTCCCTTCTGATAATTCCTATTTACCTGCTTCAAACATTCAACTCTAAGATCTTTAGTTACAAGTTTACTATTTGAATACTCTTTTCTGGCATTTATCAATGGATAATGGATTTATCTAATCTGTACTCTAAATGTGTAATTAATGTATAAAATAACAAAAATTAATGCTAATGTATCATTTTAATTGATAAATTACATGCATTATTTTAATTGAACAGTTGATTAAATATGGCCAAAGGCCTTATTCGCATCCTACCCTTTTATGTCTTAGTCAATAGCCTCCACTATTCCAAACCTATGAAAAACTTAAAAATTAACATTGAAACTCTCTATGTGCACCTTAAATTAATGGTCAAACCCTTTATTTGTATTATAACTTTGTTGATAATTTAAGATTTTTATAAATTTCAAATTATAAAAAGTGTTGATCAGTATAAAAATTAATTTTTGGTGTTGATCATAAAAAAAAATGTGTTTGGTGCAAGTAAAGGGTTCAATGATTAAATAAATATCAACTTTTATTTTTTTAACAATAATCAATGTTAAAAAAGTATTTTTAACATGTGTCCACTCTTGATCAATTTATAATAGCTAAAAGTCCTTAATGCTGCAAATTTAGCTCAATTTAGGCTTGTCCATAATTATGCAATTGTCCTTTCTGCCTCGTCAAGTCCAAATTTATAAAATAGTGAATATCATTTTCGCTGCTTTTTCTCCTTTGCAATCTAGCAGCTAGGCATGAAGGCAGACGGAAACAATATTGACCAAGGTGCATCCACCAGCACACGATGATTACTCTAATTTAAACTTTGAAACAGTGATAATATCTTAAAAGACAAAACAATTAACCTTTGCTTAATTCTTTTTTTTTTTTTTTTGCGATGAAGAGATTAATGCACTAAATTTCAAGGAAATTATAATGAATAGGCAAAGGTAATGTTCAAATGTTTTGAGAAAGTGAAAGGAGATAAGAGAAAATGGAGAGGAGGAAGCGTGTAAGGAATAGATTCCTGTATCAGTCTGCATCACTAGATTGGATCTCTAACATTCAGTCATGTTGTTTTCACTTTTTACGTGCATTGATTCTAAGAGATTCTTAGTGATTCATTTCTACCATGATAAGGAGAAGAATATCATTGGTTAAGCACATGCAAGTATATTTACCATAAAATACCGAAATTTAAATGATATTATATGAGTAAATGTTTATTAATTTATGAAAAACAATTAGCATATATTTAATTTAACATATTTTTTAACATTCATCACAGTTTAAATATTAAAATATAATATAAATACAATCTATTTAATTAGTTCCTATATTCTATATGTATAGTTATATCGTTAAATTTGTTTCTTTTAATTTTAGATTATAAAATAATGATTTTTTAATGAGTATATTGTATAATATGTTGAATTAAAATGCATACTAATTAGCATAATTTATTTATTTTTGTATGGACCATTCAGTATCCGAAAACCCATTGAACCACCAATTAACCCGAATTCAAGCGAGCAGGACCTAACGGGTAGTAAAACTCTCTCTCACGAGTTTTAATAGAATTGCATTATCAGGATTTGAAACCAAAACCTTTGATTAAACTGAAAGAATCCCTTACCAACTCATTCACCCGCTAGTGGATCTAATTAGCATAATTTATATGTCTCATAAAATGAAAAATATCAATAAAAAAGAAATATTGCTATGTTAGTTGCTAGCAAATGTTATCATAAACATTGTTGGTTTTTAAAAATAAAAAAAAATTTCTTGGAGTGTACAGTAAAAAGTAACTATTTTCATTATCTAACTCATTTCATCCATATATTTTACAATTTAAATTCAAAATATCTTATTTTTATTAAAAAAATATTATTATTAATAGGCTTTTTTTTTTTTGAACAAGGTTACAAATATGAGAGAGGGGGGAATCGAACCCAAGCCCTCGGACTGGGAGATGCATCTTATAAGTCGCTCTATAACCGTTGGGCCGTGAGGCTTAGGTGCTATTAATAGGCTATTTAGATTAACTTTTTCCAAAACAGTTAATGATTGATATCTGACAAGTGATAATAGTTGATACTTATAATTTAAAATATTTAATTTATTTGATTAAAATTAATAATTGATAATTGTTTTTAAAGAGTCAAAACAAACACTCCTTAAGTTATTTAAATTATTAATATCATAAATATTATTAATATAATCACTTTCAATTATAAAATTAATCACATAACATATTAAAGGAATAAATTTATATATAAAATTAAAAATTCGTATGACATATTATTATAAGTAAATATATGATTCTATTCATTTAATATTATTATAAGAGAAGCAAAATATACAAAATATACATAGTAATATACTCTTATTCATGAATCCAACTTCAAATGGTTTTAGGCAAATAAAATCCGTCCATCAACTTCAAGAAAATTAGGGGATGCTCAACGGTGGAAAAGGGGAAATGATTTTATGATAATTTTTTTATATAACTTGAGATATCATTTTAAATGATTAAATTTTTTAATTTATATTAAATTCATAATATTAAATTTATTTATTTAATAATATTTAAAATTTATATCAAAACATAATATAAAAAAATTATTTCTATAAAATCGCAACTTGAAAACTACAGAAACTTAGCCAATGCTGCGAGATACTTAATCGCCCCCCACCACCCCGCCATTATGGTCCCCCCAAGCATAAAAAATTCAGTTGGGTCCCAGTTCTCATCAGCCTCATCAAGACCGTTCGTTGAAATTGAAAACCAATCACACCATCCACGCTCAGAAAAAAAGAGAGAAGGGAAATGGTTAAAGCAAGCCTCATGGGCCGACCTGGGCCCACCACCTACGTTCAAGTTTTAAGTTTCAACCCACCACAAATTTTATTTTATTTTATATTTTTATTTATATACACCCTCTCCATCAACTCAGCCTTCACAAAGACAAACTTCAGTTCTGGGATTCCTTTTGACGGATCATGACCCCTATCTTGCCCGGTTTGATTCTCCTGCTTCTCTCGGCGGCAGGAAGTGCCGTCGTCGGAAGAGATATACCTGGAAACGCTATCCGGTTGCCGTCGGAAGCTTCGAGGTTCTTCCGTTCAGGCGAGGATGATGAATCCCTTGGCACGAGATGGGCGGTGCTGATTGCTGGATCTAACGGTTACTGGAATTACAGGCACCAGGTCTTTAAATTCATCTCTATTTAATCTCTTTTTTCTTCTGAATTTTGCGATGAATTTGATATGTTCTTCTTCTGTTTGCGTGAGAATTACTTCAAAGTTGATTCGAACGTGAGCTATTATGATACATATATTAGTACTACTACTACCACTACCACTACCACCAGGTCGGAAACTTCATCTATCTTTATTTTTTGTTTTTAATCTAAAAGAAGAAATTCACCCAAAATCTTGTACACTCTGTATATTCCCAAAAGCTATTTGAGCAATTCAGATTACTATTTAAATTTTCTTCTACTGGTATAATTGTTTATGTCATTATCACCTCTAATGATTTAATTAATACTGTATTGTGAGATGCTTTTGTTTATTTTATTTTATTTTTGATAAAAAGTGCTTTAATTATGCACTTCGAAGTAGTTGGAAGGATCCTGCACTGGGTACACAGTAATCTTGTTGTGTCTATAAGATTGTAACTTAGTTGTATGTGTAGGGACCATTTCTCTACTGCTAATGCAATGGAGATTGTGCATTTTTGTACTTGTTTCGGACATGGTTATGGCCATGCAAATTTTTTAATATTATCTTTTAAAATGCTGAATTTATTTGGTTTAGCTATTAAAAACAGTTAGCTGTTAGCTGATGAATGAAAAAAACAGTTGATATCTTTTATTAAAATCGAATTATGTACTGATATTTTAAAATACCATAACTAACTATTTAAAAGAAATTATCAATATTTGTGTGGCCATAATCACAGCCACTTATTTCAAGGCCTCATCTGGCACACTGACATATTAGTCCTGAATGTTTTTGTATCCAGCAGTGCTGAATTAGTATGCTGGAAATTAACTTTAGAATTGCAGTTAGGAAACAGTTTGATGGGAAACTTCTGTAAAGTGGTCCTGGGTAATTTTGAAATTGGAAAATTTTCACTGACTCAAAAGTCTAACCAAACAAATTTCGTTAACCTGACATGTATGCAGGTTTAGAAACTTGTTTTTGGAGTTTCCATTCTTTGTATTCTGCTATTCATTGTTGTTGGAGTTCAACTGATGTGTTAGCTTCTTGTTCTTAATGAGGAATGGGTACTCATCTCTTTGTGAAGAATAATTGCAAGATGCTAAATGTAAACTGGTGCTAGGGGATTGAGATCCCATCAATATGTTTATAGATGTGGGTTTGTGCATCGACATCAGTAGCCAATCCATGTTCTGTTAATCTATTTTAAGGTATTTGGTTAATGCTGAATTTTCTGCTTGATTGATTTGACTTATGCAATTGGCAGTCTGATGTTTGTCATGCCTATCAACTCTTGAGGACTGGTGGGATAAAAGAGGAAAATATCATTGTTTTCATGTATGATGACATTGCTTTTGATGAAGAAAACCCCAGGCCTGGAGTCATCATCAATAGCCCAGATGGTGATGATGTTTATAAAGGAGTTCCAAAGGTTGTGCTTCTTGTCATTGTTAAAGATGTTTATAAAATCTATGATCTAAGGCATTTTCCCTTGATGTGATTGATTTTCATGTGACAGGATTATACAGGGGAAAATGTTACTGTTAACAACTTTTTTGCTGTCATCCTTGGAAACAAAACTGCTCTAACTGGAGGAAGTGGAAAGGTTGTAGATAGTGGTCCAAATGATCACATCTTCATATACTATACTGATCATGGAGGTCCTGGAGTGCTGGGTTAGTATCTCACTAGTCATGTATTTATAGTAGTGTGACCCTCCTCTTCCCTTGATCTTTTTTAGAGAGTAGATTTGATGAAATTAACTGTTAATGTTTCATTCAGGAATGCCTACACTTCCTTACCTTTATGCTAACGATCTGATTGATGTCTTGAAGAAGAAGCATGCTTCAGGAACCTATAAAAGCTTGGTAATTACTTGCAGAACCTACACATCTTCTCTGGTGGAATTTTAATTTTTAATCTAAATTTGTTAAATTGTAGGTTTTTTACCTTGAAGCTTGTGAGTCAGGAAGTATCTTTGAGGGTCTTCTTCCTGAGGGTTTGAATATCTATGCCACCACAGCAGCAAATGCAGAAGAAAGCAGTTGGGGAACCTACTGCCCTGGAGAGTATCCCAGCCCTCCTCCAGAATATGAAACTTGTTTGGGAGACTTGTACAGTGTTGCTTGGATGGAAGACAGGTGCGTACTAATTTATAGAAAGAATGGAATGCAATCAACACATCAAAGTTGCATTCATGTACCACTACAAACATAAGATCTGCATCTTTTCCCAATTACTGCCAATTATTTAGTTCTCTCATATCCTGATGTTAGAAATGTGTATGTATGTGTTTAAGTTGACCGATAAGGTATCATCCAGTATATTTAAAATTTTTTGTTTTGAAAAAAGGTAAACTCAGATGGAAGGTGGATGATATACTTGTTATTCAATAGATCTCTATGCAAATATTTCTCTTTAACTTATAAATTTGGTTAATTTGCTGATCCTGTGGACAGTGACATACACAATTTGCAAACAGAGACTTTGCACCAGCAGTATGAACTTGTAAGCATTATTATTGATTGATTTCTTTGGATATCTTACTAATGCTTCCATTTAAGAGATCTAAATATTTTCATTTCTTCGGCACTGCCCAGAAATGCCAATATAAATACAATAAATGTTGCTAATCACACTGTTCTGGCTTCTGCAGGTGAAAGACAGGACAGCAAATGGAAATTTTGCTTATGGCTCCCATGTCATGCAATATGGAGATGTAGGGCTCAGCGAGGACAATCTTTCTTTGTATATGGGTACCAATCCTGCAAATGATAACTATACATTTGTGGATAAGAACTCCTTGAGGCCACTTTCAAAAGCTGTTAACCAGCGCGATGCTGATCTGGTCCATTTCTGGGATAAGGTTTGTGTCTTAAGTCTCTACCCATGAATAAATCGCTTTAAATGGATGTAAGAATTTAGTTGATGAGATGTTGATTGTGGCCATCTGGATGTATGAACTCAGTCACCTGCTAATTTTAACCCCATCTTACTCTAGTTGTTCTCCTTGTTTCCTATAGTATCTCAAGGCACCTGAAGGCTCTGTTAGGAAGGCTGAAGCACAAAAGCAGTTTGTTGGAGCCATGTCTCACAGAATGCATATAGATCACAGTATGAAACTTATAGGCAAGCTCTTATTTGGAATTGAAAGAGGCCCGGAGGTGTTGCAAACCGTTCGACCTGCTGGGCAACCTCTTGTTGATGACTGGGACTGCCTAAAGAAAATGGTAATAGTCTTGACTCCCTCTCTATCCCTTGCTGCCTTTCCATTCTCATGCTTTCTTATCATGTTGTGGTGATTCATACAGGTAAGGACCTTTGAGACACATTGCGGATCTCTATCCCAATATGGTATGAAACACATGCGCTCCCTTGCAAACATATGCAATGCCAGAATTCAGGTGGAGCAGTTGAATGAGGCATCTGCTCAAGCTTGCACTGTTTTCCCTTCGGGTCCTTGGAGCTCTCTTCACCGAGGTTTCGCTGCATAATTAGTCAATGTAAGAAACGTGTAATAATACTACATGCCAATGCTGCTGGATTGGGTCTAAACAGACTTATAGACGACTGCACCTTGATTGTTGCTCATACTACAATGCTATTTTGTGTGTAAATAATTTTGCTCAGAAGCTCCTCTCAACCAGACTGCCCTGTAATTAAAATACTTGCTTCAGTGGTATTTGTGTGTGTGTATATATATATATATATATAGAAGCGACATCGTAATTACCATATTGTCCCCATATGCACTATGAATTAGTAAAGGAACTGCTCCCTCGTTGCTTTCTTGAGTTAACCATGGTTAATTAACCAAATGGGTTAACTAACTATAGTTAACTCACCCCTTTCTGAAATAAATAAATAATTCCATAAAAAAAGGATCTCAATTAATAAAAAAAAACTAAAAAAAAAAAGATTTTTCGAGGAAAAATACTTAAAACATCATCCAAGATTCCGTTAGTTAATTAACGATGTGAGGTAAAAACCGTCAAGTAGAGCACGTGGAGGGAGACGGACCTTACGGTTCAAACGAGAAGTGTGATTAGAACCGTAAGATTGTTGTTGATTGACGGTCAAAATTGCCCGCTGTTGTACGGTTCGAAGGTGAAGGAGAGCAAGACGCTGTATAAAAGTTGGGTTTCAGAGGGAGAGAGAGCATTTTGTTTTATGAGAAAGAGCTCTCTGCAGTCTTGTTTGTTTTCCTCTCTTCCTCTGCAAATTTTCTTCCACTTTCTGTTTGTTTCTCGAGAAACAAACAGAGAAATTCTCTAGGATTAACACAAGATAATTGGATTGTTGAGTATTGAGGATCTGAAGCTGCGTGAGGAAGAGGGCCAGAGGAAATCCAGAGGTGTCAGGTGTGCAATTGAGAAGAGAGTTTGATTATGTATCGATTTTCTATGATAAAAATTTTCAATATCAGACTATTAATTTGGTTTGAACTCTGTTTTTCAGATACATTTGAAGAGCGACGGAGTAATTGATCTTAGCTAATCTTGAAGATTGATTTTGTTTCGTAGAAAATTTATGAAGTTGAAGTTCTAGCGGTTTGTAATTTGAAATATGGTTAGATTTGCTTTGTAATATGTTTGATTTGATTTCTCAAATGATTCTATTTTGTTTGACAGATACATTTTCTGGAGATTGGAGCTGTTCTAAGGAGGAACTTGGACGGACTTGCTTCGACGCGGAGGACACCGATTTCCGGTATGGGAGAAGATAAGAATCTGGGATGAGAGTGGGCTGATAGGCATGAATGCCATCATTTCGTTGAAAAACTGAATTCCTGCCTACAGACCCCAGGATTCAAATAAGCAAGCGCTTGGCCTGATTTACAGTGTGTTTGGAACTGCAAAATCCGAGTAATTCAGGTATGGAGCCTACCTAATTACAAGATCAGAAACGATTCTCCGGTTGAGCTTAGACTGTTTGAAAGGACAATCTATGAATTCAACGCATCGGTTAACTTCTTTCTTTTCCACTCAGCCTCTGATTTCTTTGTTTATTTTGATTCTTTGTAACGTGTAGTTTTCAACGCATCTTGTTTTGATAGAGAATCGCAGATTTCTTCCACAGAGTTGAAGTTTTAAGTAATGTTGATTTTGTTTCTCTGGCGGCCTTACATTGAGCCCCTCTTCTCTGATTCCAATCTTTTTTCTTGTTACAGTATTCTTCTTCCTTCTTCTTCCGGTTTGACCTTTTCCGGTCAGTTTTTTTTTTTTTTCTTCTAATTGTGGCTCCTCTATCTTTAAAACTAATCTTTGCAATCAATAGAGAAACAACTTCTGTGCTGGAAGTTCTCTAGTGGTGCTAAATTTTTTACAATTATCTTCAACGCAGATTCTCTTTTGCTCATTTGGTCGCCGGGAAAACCCAGGGGGAAATGAACCTCCCACCTTCCCAACAGAATTCATCCTTTCTTTCTTCTCATTTCCTTTCTTTAAACAAATCTATGATTTTCCTTTCCTGTTCATTCGTTTTTCTTTTTTAATTATGCCGCACCAGTACCAGATAAAATCCTTCCGTGCTCCTTTTACCGAATTTGCTCGATTACAAAGAAGATTCTCATCATCTCCATTTTCGGTCATGAAAGATGCGTAACTTGTAGATCAAAATCGATGACCCTTTAAACTCCTAATTTCCTCTGCTTTATCTTTTCAAGTTTTTGCCAATACTCCCCGGAATGACTTGTCCCGACAACCTTTGCCGAAATTCCGTGGAAGTAAGAACCAAACCATGGCCAGGTTCTCCTAACCTTATCACCTCCTTTTTTTTCCGTCTTTTGGCGCTCTCACTTTTATTCTGATTTTTTTCTTTTTTTCAAAATGCGAAGTTAAGCTAAATTGCTGTTAAGACTTGACGCGGTGTTGTGGTATTAATTTTCTTTTCATGTTTTTTTGATGGGACAGATTTTGGGGAAAAAAAATGGAAAAGGAATCTTTGAGGAGCATCACTAATAATAATAACACCAAAAACGGGGATGGAACCGAGGCGGATGGCGGGTTGTTGAGATCGAGCTCAGATCCGGCCGGGCAAACTCCGTCATGTGATTTCGGGTTGCATTGGGGAAGCCGGAAGCGGTTGAGGTGTATGAAGATGCAGGTCAGAGACGATCTGTCCGGTTCAGGCCACCGAACCACAGTTCGCGTCGATCGCCGGGTCGTGAAGGCCGATAAGGACTCATCAAACCAGCCAAGTACTGCCGCAAAGACTACTATTCACGGTAACGGGTACTTTAATCTCCGTCAACGGCCAGCTTCGCCTCAGCCACCGCATCCTCAGCGTATTCTCAGGTACCTTTGCTTCTCTCCAAGATTGTATCTATATTTCGTTCTTCTTAAGCCCTCTTGTTGTCATGCTTCATGACATGGGGAATTGGGAAAATTGTTTGGTCGTGACCAGGTCTTTGTTTGTCAGTTGCCACCGTGTTTTAGTTTACCTTTGCTTAATTTATAGGGTTTTAATATATGTATTTAAGAGTATTTTTTTATCATAAATTCATATAAAAAATATAAAAATTAATATTAATATTAGAGTTATTGTTATATAAAAATATATGTATTAATTTGTCAGTTGCCACCGTGTTTTAGTTTACCTTTGCTTAATTTATAGGGTTTTAATACCTGTATTTAAGAGTATTTTTTTATAATAAATATATATATAAAATATAAAAATTGATATTAATTTTAGTGTCAAAT